AGGGGGGGAAGGCGGGGGGCGGTGGATGTTACTAACGATATACTGAGAAAATTCAGGAAAGAGGGAGGTGATTAGTCACCACCATTACCACCCATGGATCCGGCCGTCAATTAGTGCAAATTCGTATTGTTCTGCACCTTATAAACAAGCTGTCACGTCATAGCTATTGATGAAGGGCTGATATCGATGACTAACGTAGATGCAATCGATGCCATGCCAGAAGGTCTAGGACAAAGTAGTCTTACAGATTTATAGGCTTTGTTTCTGTCGTATTATAATATTTTTCCTTCTGGAAAGCAATTATGTTTCTTGTATTTGTTGGTATAGGCGAGTGCGAAAGAAATTCTTATCGGTTAGGACAGGATAGAGATAATAATCAACAGTTATTGTCTTTATTTCAAGATCATACAGTATGTGATCATCTAAGACCAAAAGTGCTATGCACAAATAAACACATTCCAGAAAATTACTATATTATGTGTCTTAAACTTTATTAACCTCCAAATAAGATCAAGAACCAGCTCAAAATCTAGCACTTGAAGTGAAGAGTCCCAAATGTTACTTAACTATTAGAGTAACTTTAATAGACGATCCTCTCTGCGCTTGTTCTGAAGAGAAACACAGGTGTTAACTTCAGTAGATTGATATAAATAGAGAATAACACATGCGCGCGCGGAGATATGGAATTTATCTTCGAGTGACGCCGGTTTAGATCGATATCAAATTGAGTCTTTTTTATATACCTAAACGAAATAGGACGACGAATTCAAATCTGCACTGACTAGCGACTGACTAGCCTCGTGTTCACGTGGAACATAAAAGCTTTCCCACATGTATGAGTGTGGATAATCAGTCCGGAACAATGGTTTTTCAAGTTGGTCGCCCCATATTTCGATTCGGTATTATAAGATTCTCTCTCTTACCTAATGTTTCAGTTTATGATCATCATTTGCAAACCTTGCAGCTTCTCCTACAGTTTGACTTCATGTATTTTGGGTTTTTAGTGCACTCGCCTTTTGATGCCCAAAGAAGGCAGCTTATGACCTTGTCATGGCAACCTAACATGGTTGAGGAAGGAATGATGAATCATTCGGTGAAGAAAATTATCCTGCGTATTCCGTACATTACAAGTGGATCAGCCATAATACTCCAGTTCTCTGTTGCTTAGGGTTCGCCTCGACTTTGTACAGTATAATCACGTGTTCCAGTGAAGGTCCGTGGAATTCTAAAGTGCTTATACTGTTGAAGTTGTGCATTCTTTACCGTTGTAATTATTTAGACACTGATACCAGGCAAACACTGAGTACGTGAGTCTGTTATTAAAGCACATAGCGGTATTGTACGAATTCGAAACGGTGTATTGTGGTCAGGACTGAAGTCCACAAGCTCCCACATTTGTCTAGGGAATATTGTATCAAAATGGCACAAAAACTTTTGAACGGCCTTTCAGTAGGCGCAATTTCGAATACCACCGTTCGAGGTGATAAAATCCGTTATCTTAACCCTTGTCATCATTGTCTTTTCTTTTTTCAAAAAATAGTGGCTACTTGATTCCTTTTTGTTTCCAAGCAGCGTTAACAGTTAACAGCAATCTCAATTTAAAGATCGCTTGAACTGTGCTTTCCTGTTTTGAAATGCTGCCTTGAAAATGTTTACTGACAAGAGCTTTTGCTGCCCGCTTGATTTTGGACTAATGTCAACCCAGATTTTTTGGACTAATGTCAACCCAGATAAGCGTTTCCCGCGCAGCTAATCTCCAACTTGTTTCTGTCAAGGGCCAGTTAATGTAACAAACAGAAAAGTATATTTTCCAAAAACTGGCGTCCGCCTCGAAGGACTGTGACTGTTGAACTAGCTTCTAAATGCATACTTACGGCAGACATTGCAGCTCTTGATGCACTTGACTAACATAAATGCCGGATTGTTCTTACAAATGCCTTTGGCCGCCCACAAGGGACACTGAACAGGGTCACTATCCTTGCATCCTGTTGGGTACAAATATTAGATTGTTAGTCATTTAACTAGCTATATTGTTCATTTTAAGTAACACATGAAATAAAAGCTTATGTGCTGCTATTGCGCTGTGTCCCACCGTTGTATAATTTATTCCGGGGGTCGCGGGCTCTATTTCCAGGAGAACTACAAATATGAATCGAGTTTGTTTAAGAGTTGTTCTCTCCCTTGCCTGCAAGGTTTTTCTCCGAATTCTCCGGTTTTCAGTCCTTCGTAATCGCAAACATCAACATGTGAGTTGAGTGTTGTGTGGTGTAAATGATAAACGAGTCCCTCACAGAGAAGGATGGTTGTGAAATATGCTAGCCAAAAAAAATCAAGAAAAGTTTCAAAACTGAGCAGTCACACGGATTTCCAGGTCTCCAAATTGAAAAATAACATTGCTAATACGTGCATGATAACAGTGACACTGCTTAATAATTTTGATATTTTGATTGCAATTGGAGGGCATGTTTTTATTTTTCACTGGTAAATTTTCGCAGGCTTCGTTACACCTCAGTTTTACAGTGACGTCGTTTACACGTCACTATTTCAGAACATCAGGATCGGATGCGGTTTATTTTATGAAAAAACGTAGATTTGATACACACCACATATGCCACAGCTCTTCGCACAGTTTTTGTTCATATAGACTGGGTTTGCAGTACACTCGCCTCTATCTGCCCATAGTGGACACTGGAATGGGTCCTTGTCAGAGCAAACTGAAAAACAGGATAAGTTGGTCAAAAGGTTCCACGCATCCATCCATGCATCCATCCATGCATCCATGCATCCATGCATCCATCTATCCATCCATGCATGCATGCATCCATCTTTATCCTATTTATGAATACTCTTTATGAACTATAAGATGTATATATATAAAGTGTCAGTGTAAATCGAACATGTTACTCACGTGGTACTGTTTGTATCTCACTAAACATCGATGTAGGAATTACCTTGGCTATCAAGAAAAGAAAAGGCAAAACTAAGGGCTCGGTAATTTTCTGTCGCCTGGGGGGACAAATAGAGATTAACTAACCCCTCCTCCCCCACACGATGGACTATTTTCTGATGATTCCTCCTTACTAATAATTACGACTGAGTGAGCCCCCCTTCTACCTATTAGTGTTTCTGTGTCTGACCACGTGTCATTCCCTAGAGCATCAAGCTTTTGTTTAATGGCTGAACGTGAGAAGACTTATGAATGTGGATTCCACTTAAACAAGAGAATGACACGTGTCATTCCCTAGAGCATCAATTCTTTGTTTAATGGTTGAACGTGAGAAGACGTATGAATGTGGAATCCACTTAAACAAGAGAATGACACGTGTCATTCCCTAGAGCATCAATTCTTTGTTTAATGGTTGAACGTGAGAAGACGTATGAATGTGGATTCTACTTAAACAAGAGAATGACCACGTGTCATTCCCTAGAGCATCGATTCCGCTTTGTTTAATGGTTGAACGTTAGAAGACGTATGAATGTGGATCCTACTTAAACAAGAGAATGACACGTATCATTTCCTAGAGCATCAATTTTTTGTTTAATGGTTGAACGTGAGAAGACGTATGAATGTGGATTCTACTTAAACAAGAGAATGACACGTGTCATTCCCTAGAGCATCAATTCTTTGTTTAATGGTTGAACGTGAGAAGATGTATGAATGTGGATTGCACTTAAACAAGAGAATGACACGTGTCATTTCCTAGAGCATCAATTCTTTGTTTAATGGTTGAACGTGAGAAGACGTATGAATGTGGATTCCACTTAAACAAGAGAATGACACGTGTCATTCCCTAGAGCATCAAGCTTTCGTTTAATGGTTGAACGCGAGAAGACTTATGAATGTGGATTCCACTTAAACAAGAGAATGACACGTGTCATTCCCTAGAGCATCAATTTTTTGTTTAATGGTTGAACATGAGAAGACATATGAATTTGGATCCTACTTAAACAAGAGAATGACACGTGTCATTCCCTAGAGCATCAAGCTTTTGTTTAATGGTTGAACGTGAGAAGACGTTTGAATATGGATTCTACTTAAACAAGAGAATGACACGTGTCATTCCCTAGAGCATCAATTTTTTGTTTAATGGTTGAACGCGAGAAGACGTATGAATATGGATTCCACTTAAACAAGAGAATGACACGTGTCATTCCCTAGAGTATCAGTTCTTTGTTTAATGGTTGAACGCGAGAAGACGTATGAATGTGGATTCCACTTAAACAAGAGAATGACACGTGGTTCGCAGTAGAAAAACTTGAGGTCTATTATGATACTACTTACTACATTTCTGGCAACTTCTTTTACAATGTTTGGCCATCCAATCAGCATTCTTGGAACATTCACCTGATGCTGCCCATTTTTTGCACGAAACATAATCATCCTGGCAGTCTAAACATACAATATAGATTGCTATTGGTTAGTTGACTATGGTCGATGGTATTTAGTCGTGGTGTACATTTACAGACACTTCAAAATAAAAGGTTGGTGAAGGTTTTGTAGCAACCAAGCCCGGAATGCACTAAGGCCGATATGTAAAGGTTATATACCTTATACCTACTTTGCTCTTTTACTCCAACGAAGGACTAGCGTCCGAAACGTCAGTAAGTTTTTTCATCTTTTCAAGGTGTATAATTTACCTTTTCATCATTACTGTTTCATTAGAAACACCGACGCAGCTCACACTAGTTTTTAGCTAGTTATATCTTCTACCTTATGCCTCGGTGGGTATGAGATATATCAACCCGAGGCGAAGCCAAGGGTTGATATATCTCATAACCACTGAGGTATAAGGTATATAACCGCCTTATATCATCATTGAGAAAGTTTCTTAAAACAAAGTTTTGAGTTTTAACTTATTTCTGGGCGTAAATCATTAGATTTAGATATGATGCATTGGTTTTGGCGTAGTTAAATATCCCAGTTTTATTGTTCAATGCCGTAATCCTTTACACTTTTCGATGAATTGTGTTGATTAAAGCCGCGTCTTTGTTAGCTTTTTTTTCAGTAGACGTGCACGCTTGCATTTTGACAACCATACTCTTCAATGATGGTTTTGAAAATTGAGTCCATTGTAATTTTCGAAAAGTGTTTGCACGCCGTTTTGGTGGTTTCGGCTTACGCAATGTTCTAAGAATTGATGCATTTCATTCAGAGAACACGATGAGTCGTACTGTTCTCTGAACCTCTGGCAGCATTGAAAAAGGATGGCAGACAGCAAAGAAGAGCTATTCATTACCCCAAACAGCTTTTTAAGAACTCTGCCTGATTTCGACCTAGATATTGAAGAGTTTTTTGGCTTGCAAAGCATCTCAAAAGATATACATTCACCAATGGTAGAGAAACAGTGCGATACGACTGAATCAAGTACTTCAGGATTTGAAAAACCACTATCAGATGGAGAATTGGACGAGCATATCTCAAGCTTGCAACGGAGGAAAAGAGAGAGCAAGAAGAGCGACCGATGAAAAAATCTAAGATCAAAGATGACGGTAAAACTTTAATTCAGTTCAACAACTGTGATATAATCATTAATAATAATTAATATTTTCTCCTTGAGAAAATTTGTCACAATCCTTTGAGCCTTGGTTTGAGTTAACAATCTCATAAGTTAATTTTTTCGTTGACAAATTTATCACGAACAATTTATAGTTTAAGTTTTGGGTTGAGTTACCAAGGGTTTTCATTATCCATAATTTAATTTTAAGTAAAATTTTGTTCATGAACAATTAACCGTTTAAGTTTTGCTTTGAAATAACATCACATGTAAGGATTTTCTGATGATTTAGGATCTAATCTTTAGTAAAATTTTGGTTAATTGAGAAATTTATCACGAACAATTAATCGTTTAAGTTTTGGTAATTTCAGAGTTAACAAGGATTTTCATGATTTAGAATTTAATTTTGTTCATTGAGAAATTAACCCCGAAAATCCGTTTAGCTCAATTTTGCTACAGTCGCTTGCATTTCGTATTCAGAAATTCCCTAAGAGGAGCAGTGTATGATTTTGTTGCAAAAATCAATTTGTACATGTGTATATTGTGTATATTTATTACTGCGGTATTCATCAATCCTGAAAGCACGTGCGTAGTTTCCATCGCAGCCGTTACAAGTGTCGTCACACAACGCATTAACCCCTGAGAGAGGGGAGAAAGCTTTGCGTGACAACACTGGTAACTACTGCGATGGAGACTGTTAAGCACGGAATTGATAACTAAATATCAACCTCTTCTGGAGGTTGATATCTAGTTATCAACCTGGATATTCCTTTGTTTAATCAGCCCCGCACTCCCCTGAAAACTATTCAAAGCCGCCCCCGACTTTAAGACAGTTGGGTGAATAAGAAAGATAAAGACCGCCGGAGAACAAAAGAAACTGAGTCAATGATGATATAAGAAACGATAATGGAAAACTCACAACGATATAGAATTTTACCAAACTTTGACGGTTTTATATTTTTTAATATTTTTTCTGTGCAGACTTCATTTATATATGATGTATTATTTACATATCACACATTTCAAGCAACATATGTTATCAGCAACACGCAACATGCAACTTGTAACATGTATGCAACATGCATGCAGCATGCGTGTAACATGCGTGCTTAAGGTAATTATGAGCTCACCACAGTGACCAGGGTCGATGTATACATCATCAATGGCCATATCTGAGTATCCGGTACCACCAAGGACCGCCTCGAAACTTAACTGCAAATAAAAAGACAAGAGAAGTTTTACAAAACGCATATACAGCACTAACACTGGCATTGAATCGTGTGATTTGTAGTGGGCATCATTCAAAGGGTTTTGTCGTTGACAATGCATAGGCACGTGCCTTTGTAAAAGTGTTCGGCTTTCTTGACAACAATGGCATACATGGGAATACTTCAATTGAAGTTCCACTCGAGGGCAATAGAGGACGTTTCACATGTCATTGCAGGAACCTTTCTGCATTGCCTGTATACATTAGCATAATCATCAACAGACGCTTTGTGGATTGCTTATTGCAAGCTTGTCTTTTAATTTCTCGCATCTTTTATGGTTGTTGGGGATGCGGACAAGACTAATCAAGACTAACCCTATATCCAACTGATGCTGGAGGGTCTATTCTACCAACGCCTCTCTTCCATTCATTCCCTTGACTTTCTTTTTTGTAGAAGATGTAATATTTTGTATCACGACCGTGTAGCTCCAATTTTAGTCCCAGACTTCCGGTTTCTTTGCCAAACATGTGGTATGCAAATTTGACGCACTGGCCACCGGGTACGTAGGGCAACCATCGCGTAGACAGTATAGCCTTGTCGCCCTTGACCCTTGGAGCAGAGGACTCTGTATACAGATAATATCCTAACAAGGAGAAGAAAAAGCGTTATTCTTTTTCATTTTCCCAGAGTACGAAAGAGTGTAACATTGTTCGAAAGAGAAAAAATGTATTGATACCCAGAAACGCCCTCTGTGCTGATCAAAGCCAGGGTACGAGTAACTCACAGTTTGAGCCTTTAAAACAACTTGATCAAAGTCATGACAACGCTAATTCTTAGATTGAATTACGATATTGCGTGTTAAGTTTTGAAGAGGGAGTAAAATATCTAGAACCTAGCTGGAGAAAAAATCTCGAATTAAGAGAGACCCAAAGACGCACATGGTGCTGAGTAAAAAAATCAAATACGCGAACCCTGAGATGAGTAACAAATGCACTACATCTTGACTGTTACCCTTTTCATGTGATGCTGGGTAAAGAAATCAAATACGTAACCCCTGAGATGAGACGCAAGTGCACTACATTTTCACTGTTACCCTTTCCAGATGTGTGATCATGTAATGGCCCTGTGTCCATAGTTTGCGTATGTCCTTTTAGCAAGGTCCAATCAAAATTATCTTGTTTGCTATTGGTCCAAATCCCCATTCGGTTGTCTTCAAAGTCTGTATCATCAGCGTCTATTGAAACAACAGGAAGACACACAAAAATGTGATTAAAATTTCGTCTAAAATTTCCTCTGATATTCAAGACTAAATTATACCGAGACAATTATTCTCCTCGGGCTCATTGACTATTGGTCATCATAAACCAAATAATCAATGGTCAATGCTTAGCGTGCGTAAATCTATTGATGGTGCACGCGGATAGATGGGAGAGCACGATGGTAGCGTAAGAGTTGTACGAGGTGGAGCCGATTTAGTGCAACTCTAGCTACCAGACTTGCTCTCCCAACTATCCAAGTGCACCATATCAATAGATTTACGCACTTCTATAGCATTGATCATTGCTTTTATAACATTAAGAACAACTTCACACGATAAAAACTGTTTATTTTGCTCTAGTCAAATCACAGATTCTCCTAAGATGCGAGCACGATGCTTTTCGAGCTGAATTTGAAATCAGTCGGAGCAAAAAGAGCTCAATTTGTATTCTAAACTTAATTTTAAAACTTTTTCCAAAACATTAATGTAAGGGAAGCAGTTCCCTAATGTATTCTTAAACGTTTTCATTCACAAGAAAGTTTTAAAGTAAATTTGACTGAGGTGAGAAGTCGATCACAACTTATCTGAACATTTTGAACCGTAAATTTTTCAAAAACTGAAAGAATGCACCAGTGGCTTTACTAGGACTCTAGTAACCATCGTGGTGTTTTGCTGGACTACTGTGGTGACCTGTACGGCAGATTGAGCAAGAAAAACTGAACTAATTGACTTCTCAACTGCAAGTCTTCTCGATTTCGCTGCAGTGACTGGCCGGTGGAAGAGCGAGTTTTTTAGTAAGCCAAACTTGAACTCAAACAAACACGCTATAAACTTTCTTATGGAAAGGAAATCAATAGTTATATTTTACCTTTAAATGTACAGAAATTTAGACCAGTTAGTAGTCTTTTTAGTTTTATCAGAATGCTTGCAGTTTTCACCGAATTTTTACCAAATTGACGTCACCAGCGTGCTCCATACGAGTGCTCCATACATTTTTTCTTCATAGATGGTGAGCCAATCAGAGCGCGCGTTATATCTTAGTTATATTATAAAAATACATTTTCGCTCGCTGTCATTGGTACAAATGGAACACGTGCAGGATGGATATCAGACCATTATTTCTAACTGACCTGATGATGTTGTCGAGATGACAACGACACGTGGTGTCTTGTATCATTAGCTTTTACATGAAAATATCTTTTCAAGGTAATTTTTCTCCATTTCATTGTTATTTTTAGCAATTTTCGCTTACCAAGGATACATCTCTTTACCATGCATAGTTTATCTTCTTCATTACTTCCTGGACAACTCTTTCCACCGTGGGCAGGGGCAGGATTGTTACACTGACGTGTCCGTTTACTGCCGCCATCGTCACATGTAGCGGAACATGGCGTCCAGGGGCCCCATTTACCCCAGTGACCATCAATAGGTACTAGGAGACAAACAGGAAATGATCATAATGAATAATGAATGGTACAAAGACAAAAACAACTGCCGGAAACAAATACAAAAAAATATTACGATCACAACCTCGATTACAACCACCAACACCAACACCAACACCAGCACCACTACCAACAACAACAACAACAACGAAAACTAAACAAAGACAAACACTACCGAAACAAATAAACAAAAAAATTAACACAATCACAACAAAAAACACAACTACGACAATTACCAACATCATCACAAACACCACCAACACCAACCGCAACACTACCAACACCACTACCAACAACATCAACAACAACGACAATAACAACTAAACAAAGACAACAACAAACGTAATAAAAACAAAAGTATAATTTAAAACTTGTGCAATAAATACATAAACACTTTTCAACGCCATTGTTATTTTTGTCTTATTATTGCTGTTTACACGACAGATTAAAACCTAACAAAACTTTTAGGATAATGAAATTTTTCTGCTTATATTCTTACCGGGACACTTCGTACAGCGTTGCTGCTCTTTCTGGATACCATAAGGATTAGCACCAACACACTGGGTGTAATCGTTCTTTGGATGATAACAGTATCGTTGGCGTGTCTTCATGCAGTTTTTATCACACGGGGTAAAGGGTGACCATGCTGTCCAGCCGTGATAGTTGGCTGTCAATAAATACAACATTTTAGATTTAACCATGCATCCGTGCATCCGTGCATCCGTGCATCCGTGCATCCGTGCATCCCTCCACCCACCCACCCATCCATCCATCCATCCATCCATCCATCCACCCTACTTACTGTTACAGTCGTACAAAGCATTAATCTCGATGACATCACTTTCGCTCAAACGTTTCTTCTGGTTGCCAAACTTCAGGTTCGGATCATGTATGGCTTCAATAGTGGGTAGTTGGTTTTTACTGTACGCAAAACGATCATAGTGCATTATGGACTTGAAGTCGTAATCTTTGCCCAGATCATCAATAGTTTGCCAGTCAAATTTATCGAATTGATCTGAAAAACCTTTTGGGACAAAAGTAGGCCAATGAATCATAAACACCATATTAATGTGCAATAATTAAGATACAAAAGCTCTTTACAGAGAGTATACATCTATTTCTTCAAAAAGGTTCAGAGAATAACAAAAAAATAAAAAATAAAAAAATTATATATAAACTCTTATACATGCCTTCTCCTAGACAAATGATCAGCAATGATTAAGATACAAGAATAAGAACCTAGATTTTCCCCAGTTGTTCTAAAGAGGTTATTATATAAATGGTGTTGACTGCAAAACTAGGCTAGGTTAGGTTATTAAACAGATTCTTATTTTCGAACGGAAAAAGCGGCTTGTTTTTGCTACGTGTGGTGTATTATTGATATAAATTATGCATACATTTTCTCCAAACGACCGCAAGATATGCAGTGTATGTCATTTATAGCTTACTGTGTGTAAAATCTTTGTAGAGCTTATTTTCTTTGATTATAATTTTTTAGTTTTGACTCTATTTGATAAAATAAGAATTCAACCTACTTTGACATTTTAGCCTGAAACAGTTTCTGATGTACAGGGAGTCTAACTGGAAAATATTAGCCTAACAGGTTCTTAAAATCTAGGTTATTATATGCTGTTTTTTTACTATATACGTCTCAGCAGTGTACAGACTTTTATTTACGACTCATTCTGTTTTCAATTAACCTGTCTTCAGCCATCATTGAAACAGGTCATAACATGATTTTTCATTGAAGTTTTTGCAGGCTTACCAGATGCAATATTTTCGTAGTTGATTCTTACATACTTGTCACGATCTGGTCTTGACTGCTCGTGCCAGAATCCTTTATATGAAAAAAGTATTTAGATTGATATCACATCCTTCTCCTCATCTTCAACCTCAACATCATCATCATTATCATCATCATGTCAAAGTGCAAAGTGGTGATTATGATTATGACGATGACGATGATGATGACGATGATGACGACGATGGTGATGATGATAAAGATGAAGACATTAATGATGGTGATGAGGATGATGAGGAAGTTGATGATGATGAAGATTATGATAATAGTGATGATGATGAAGATGAGGATATTGATGATGATAATGATAATGATGATGATGATGATGATGAAGATATTGATGATTATGATGATGGTGATGATTAATAGGATGGTGTAATGGTGTTGATGATAATAATAATAATGATGATGATGATGGTGATGATGATGCTAGTCATTGAAGAAGTCGCATACCACGTACTTACCTATGGCATGTACTAGCTCATGTAAGATTGTACCAGGCTGTTCACAGTTTTTCCCTATTGACACTCTCTGTTTTCCTGCTTTAAAATACATTTTGCCAATCATTGATGAACACCTGCAACAGTAAATGAAGATTATGTCTTACAAGAAGTTAAGGATACACGGAACACAATCGGGTCGGGTTTTTTGAACGCTCATAGCGCGTTTAGTTTATATAAATTTCCCCATAAAGTATACATTTTCTAACTGCTTAAAGTTCAAATATTCCATATACGATTTTACTTTTGGACAAAAATAATTCATTTTGGATAAATCGGGCATTGATTGCAAACGCTATGGTTCGACGCGAGATGTTTGTTCTCCCTCTGGTTAGCGTAAACGGATCAAATTTTTTTTGCATCTTATTACACGTATGTTGTTCTACCAAGCTGTGTCTGCGTTTTTGCTTTTAGCGCTTCTTTAATCTTTTATTCAATTCCAAAGTTATAACTACATGTTTTTAAGGGCATTCTTGAGAAAATGGCAAATATCTGACAAAAGAAAAGGAAAA